ACTGACAGAGCTATGTCGTGATTGGTGTTTAGGGTAGTTTAGTTAATGCAGTAGAGTTGATCTAACGTAGCACCAGCGTTTTAAAAATAGGGCTAATCCTATCTGCCATAACGTGTAACGATCTTTGTGAGTTCTGGGTTAGAAATGGGAATGGGTTAATAAAAGTCTTTAAACTCCACAGAAGAGTTCTCGAAGCATATTTAAAGGCAGAATAGGAAAAAACACACAAATATAGGTACAAAATAAATAGACACATGCTAGTAGGTGCTAAACATATACAATCATCAAAAGGCACAGGAGACAAAGTAAGCAAACCAGACAGACTCAGGTGCCAATGTGTAAAAATAAGTTTTAGTTCTAGTTTTAAAAGACTCAGTGTGGATAGTATTCCATCATCATAACATACCTGGCTGAGACTATCAGTTCTCCTCTGAGCAAAGTCCTACTTCCCTCACCAGATGGTTTGTCAGAACCTCTTTAAAGCCAAATAGCAGGCCTCACTTATCACCACCTATCGCCTCTGTGTGGTGACTGAAAAGTGAAATCACAGGCACAAGGGGCTTTTGCTCACCTGTGCTCACAGACCAGATAGTCTATGAAGTAGATGAAGATCATCAAAATCTTGGAGAGGAAGATTTGTTCCTTTGCTTTGATCAAGAGAAGGTGCCTCTACCATCTGATCAGGAAACCTTTCTGTGGTAATATCCAAGACCATCTGAACTGACTTCCTTGGGATCTTTAAAATTTACTTAATATTTACTTACCACGGTCTTTTACTAAGAAAAATGCATTTTAGTGCTCAGGAATGTGCTGCTTTATATTCATTGTCTGCATCTGTAAAACTAAGCAGACTGTGAATCACATTCCCCAGATTGTTTCTTTTTACCTCTGAGGCAATGAACCACAAGAAACTTTTTTTTTATATTAATCGTTAAAACATTAGCAAATGGTTGTGTTTATATTTCATCATAAATAAAGCCCTTAAGAAAGATTCAATGTATCCTTTATGAACCTGTATGTGTTTGTGTGTGTGTGCAGGTGTTAATAAGAAAAACAAAAAATGGACTGACTTCTACAGCAGACCAGGGGTCATTTGTCACACATATGCCAGTCATGCCACCAGAGACAAACAGCTAACATAAGCCAGGCTGTAGTCATGTGTTTGTGGGTCTCATAAGGTCCACCAATCCCCACGTCATCTCGCTCCACTCAAACATGCTAATGTACCTGTGCTCTGCTCTAATTGGTCCCAGTGATGCTCGCCCTGCTCCACCTGTGTTCATGGGAAGCCTCCAGTCAGTCCTGCAGTCAGGCCCCCGCCACTGCATGCGAGTGCGCAGAGCTAATATTATGCAAACAAACACTTTGTTGTTTGGCACTTCGTGCACCGACCCGCCACTGTGGAAGAAAGGGAGAAAGTAAGTAAAGGGAAATAGAGAAAGGAACAAGGGGGTGTATGAGTAGGGGTGGTGGTGGTGCTAGAATTCATTAGTGTGATTACCTGAGGTGTGCTACTTTACAGGGGGTAATCTGCCTGCCTGCTTCATACCCTCCAAACTTCAGCCAGTCCACTAATGAGCGCTTGGAAAAGTTAGTCAAGGTGGAGAGGTGCTTTGAGGGGCTGTGCACCTTAGACTAAGGTGTTATTATATATGCCGGAGCAGAAAACAAAGGATGGATGCCTATTTTGTAACAGAGGATAAATGAAGACTGGTAATGTTTTGATACACGTGGAAAAATGGCGTAACAAACAGTGGGCCGACTGATGAGGTTGAAACCTCAGGACAAAACACTGGCACGTTTAAAGGTCGAAATGTCTGACAAATTAGACATATAGTACACTTTGATGTGAAATATCAAGAATATTTTCAACGTCATTTGAGGCAACATCCCACACTAATCAAAAGGACACCAGAGGGTTCAGGGAATCTCACTGAAGAGCCACTTCTCTCTGAGGTATTGTCGAGGACAGCGGCTTCGGTCCTGTGCTGTAAGAGTAGGTGGATTAGAGATGGGATCAACCCCTGTCTCATTCCCCCCCTTTTTCCTCTCTCTTTTTTCACGGCAGAAGCTTTGGCCATGGCTTTAGAGAGACAGCTGCCGTGAACAAAGCTCAGGACAGTCCACTGGGGACAGAGAAAGTGCGAGTGTCAAAGAACAATAAAAGTGCTGGAAGAGCTCGGCTACGGTGGAGCAGCCAAACGACGGGGAGGGAGAAAAACCACAGAAAATACAGGATATACAGTATATACACTACATATTAGATAGATGGATTCTGTAACTTTCCCCTTCCTCTCACCCTGTGGCTCTGCTTCATCACACAGCATCAAAACATAGCTTTATTCCCAGGAGTGGCTTGCCTTTTTATCTGCTCCCTAGCTTCCCACGGCGGGCCGCATCCACCCATAATCTGCTGCTGTTTCATGTCTGGAGCACAGAAGAAAAGGATAAGGGACTTGTTCAAGTGAAGATCAATGAGGCTGTACACACAGCACACGTGCATCAGGACACACTGAGAATGTTTTCCTTCTTCTTCTTTGTAAAGTGCCATATGATGCAACATTAAAAGAACATTATATATGGATACACTGACAAGACGAGTCTGAGAGTTTTAACAGAAATTACTATTAGGCTGAGATGTGGCGCGATTTGTGTCATACGCCCTGTAAACCCCATCTACCTTTTTATTACTGAACCATCTCTCTGTGGATCAAACACGGAGGACTAACACAATGAACAACTGTAAACATGCTGCATTATACATTTGTTGAAAACACATTTGGCTGTATGTCACAAGCACCTTGTTATTTTAGACTGTGCCAAGCGCCTGTGCCGGCAAAAATCAAAGCAGTCTGATGTATTGGCAGCAATAGCTGGGGTGTGAAACTGTGTCAGCGAAGTAAAGGAAATCACCAGAGGCTATTTTCTGTTCGCTCCACAGCTGGCTGACGAGATCGGCAAGGACTAATTGTGTATCAGATGGAGGCAGAAGAAATTCTCAGTTTGCGCGTTACTTTTCTTTGTACTTAGGTCTACCCGCCTTCCCACCCAAGTGGCACAGACTCACCAGACAAAGGGAACTTAAAAGTACCAGAAAGACAGCCCTGGGACAAACAACACACATGCACAGAAATCCTCGATGAACCCCAAAGCCAACCTGTAACCCTAACCCTCTTCTATCCCTCCAGGAACAATCTCCTGTAGGAAATCAGTGGAAAGAAAATATACATGAAAGTTGGATTTAAAAAGAGCAGGGAGGGAAAGAGATAAAGATAGAGTGAAAATGACACCGCGATTGTGTTGGAATGAATAAAAGGGGAAGGGAGAAAAACTTTGCATTTGGAACTACTGATCAAAGTAATTCCCACAGGAAACCTCTCTTAATGAGAGCTGTACAAGAAAAGAAGGGTGGAAGACAAGGAGTGAAAGAGAAGAAGAGTATGGCATGCCATTCCTACACAGAGGAGGGAGAAAGAAAAGGGGAGATGAATCATACACAGCGCCTAGTGGAAGAAATGAGCGTGTGTGTGCGCATTGGATGGGGGTGGTGGTGGTTATTTGAAGGGTGTTTTCAAGATCATTTTAACATCTTCACTGAGGGAGCGTCAGAGGCAAGGCCAGGTTAATTAAACCCAAGGGAGTACCAGCTGAGGGGCCCCGCATTTGAATATGTCACAGAAATAGAGCGAGCGCGTCAGCCGAGGCCGGATGGTGGGTTACGGTGAGCAAATATGTTGACTGTGCATTACACGCTACGAGGAAGAGGGAGAAATAGAGACAGACAGCGGAGGGGTAGGGCGGGGCCATGCAGGAGGGGGTCTCTGTGATGTTTTGCTTTTCTTTACCCACGGTGCCACCGGATTTCTCTGAGTTATTAATGTTTGTCATTAGCTCCATTACGCTGGAGGACAGTGACAGGAAAAGAGAGTGAAGAAATTTATATGGGACAAATATTGACAATAGCCTGCCCATGGGTATTGGAGAAGAAGAAAAGATGCAAACTATGTTAATGAATGGTAATTAACCACTAGGGTTTGTCTCTCCTGGATCCCAGCTAAATTGGTCCCCGAGTTGCAGCTAGAGACAGTCCTGGCCTAATCCTTTATTATAAAAAGATAAAGGAAAACGACATCATTAGCATATATTTGAGAAGAAGGTGGGGGGTTGGTGGGGGGGATTAAAAAGTGGAATTATTTCTTTTTAATTCTTGAACGGAGGATCCTTCGTGCCACTGTTTATTACACATAATAAAAAGAAAGGAGGAAAGTGGTTATTCAAAAAAAAGGGAAAAGAAGAAGCAATTTCAAAGGAGGCGTGTGGGTCTCCTGAGTGGGATGCAAACTCAAGGACAGAGACCTGGATCGTGGTTTAATATTCAAAATGAATAATAAGAGAGGGAGGACAAGGGAAACAGATAAAAGGAAGTGGAGGTAGCTGTGTCAAGGATGGAACCACTCCTCTTGTGCACCACGGCTCTGTGTGTGTGCGTGTGTGCTCATCCTGACCCTTACTAATGATGTCAGCAGCAGGGGCCACTTGTTACAGACAGGAACCATGCCAACAGGCAGCTGTCAATCATAAGAGAGGTGCGAGAACCCCGCAGTCCAGCAGAGCATCCCTCAGTCACCATCCCACTCTGACTGACACTCCTTTGAACTGCCAGAACAAGCAAAGTACGAGAGCACAGCAAAGCAAACGACAGCGACCATCACAAAAAGGCAGACTTTAGAAGTTAAAAGGGCTTTTATTTTGGAAATTAAGTAAATGTTTATTAAACAAAATGGTAAAAAAAAAATCAAGCAATACTTAATATAATTACATAACAAAATAAAAGATTAGAAGCTTTAACAATCTCCTTCAGAAATAAATACTTGCAGTGCATTTCATAAATGGAACAGATGAGGCTTCAATCACTGAACTGGATCTGAGGGTAATACACTCTGGAGCTCCTTGCAGTGAATATTCTGCTCTCTCTTGCTTTGGACTTTCCTAAAGTGTCGACTAGGCATGCGTAGGTCAAGTCCCTGCAACCTAAAAGTTCTTGAGGTTCCAAATAAATTAGAGGGAAAGGGGTAAAAGAAAGTTTCAAAAAGTGTAATTTAAACATTAGAGTAAGCATTTGCCTTATCACCCCAGGTCTGCGTTGAGAGCGGAGGAGAGTGGCTGCACTGTAAATTAGCTTGGCACTAAAGGGCCCTGTCTGATAGACATAGTGCAGTGAGTGCTAACACAGATGTCGAGGGCTCATTTACAAAAGCTGGGGTGCTGCGTTGAGCCAGTGGCCCAGAGTGAGTCGACAGCGCTTTTCTCACAAATATTGGTTCTGCTGCCCCGGCCCAGCTTGGCTCAGCCCGGCTCCCACCGAGTAGGAGCTGGGGAGCGAGAGAAGAAGGGAGGGAGGAAAAGAAGAGGATGACAGTTTTCCCAGCCTCAGCCCAGGGAGTCAGGCTTTTTCGCTGACTGGTGTTGCGAGCGTGGCCAGCTCTTCTGTCAGCACTTTCCTCTCCTTCATCTTCACGCGCACAGCCTCCATTAGCTGGCCGGCAGAGGGGATCTGCAGGGGAGGGGAAGCACAGAAAAAAGGGTGTGGGGGTGGCGGTAGAAGGGGAAGATGAGGAAAACACGCACAAAAGCACAAGTATTAAAAAATAAAATCTGATTTTTTTATATATCTATCCAGCTATACACACACACACACACACACACACACACACAC